GGAGAATGGGGCGGGGGGGCGGGGAGCATTTCAAAAAGCAAAAGATATTCAGAAGCCCCTAAACCTCTCTGAAAATCCTGACTTCAGATTTTGATTCTGCAGAGGCAAAGCTTCCCCCCCCGAGAAAAGCTATCAGCTGCAGAGAGCAACCCAGATGTGCAAATATTAACAGTACACACAGCTTTGCTGACGCTGGATCTGGTCATGGAAGAAAACCAGAATCACACCAAGCTCTTGATCTGTTTTAACTGTACACTCAGACCCTGGTTCTCCAGCACCTCTCCAAGCATCTCAGGGGGATGCAGCCTGGTTTCACCCCGACATTTCTGAATTTCAGCATAAAAGCAAGGAGAAGCTCTTGAAGGGAAGGTTTACAGCAAACCCTGTGAACGGCACCTTGCACGTACTCACCCTGGGCTTTTCAATTTTTCTTCTGCGTGCTTTTTCAAGGCTCAGAAGCTCACATTTTGCTTTCAAACACAAATCCCACAGACTATGATTTCAAGATGACTGCTTCGGGAAAGGGGGGAGGAGAGTCCTACCGGGCTGTTTTTCATGGCTGACCGAGCAGAAATCTCCTGCTGTAGAGATGAAGGCCCCCTCGGAGAATACCTCTCCAGGTAGACAGCAGGTAATTGATCCTGCTCATGTGAACAACATCTTGTCATTTTTCAAACACTTCAAGGAAAGAAGGTTAATATCTTTGGTGCCAGGAGTTTGGAGAATACGCAAAATCACTACCACAGCAGGGTAGGAAGAGCAGCTCTCGTCCTTGTACATCCAGCTGGCAAAACACTGAAATAAGAGACCTAGACTAGATGCACCGGTGCTCGACTGGTGCACAAGTAAATGTCCTCTGCATTTGTTGCTGTATGTCAGCAAAATCTAAAAAATGGGGTCTTTGCATCAGTTGAGGAGGTTGCAGAATCATTCAAGCAGCCTCCAGTTGTGTTCAGGGCTACAACGCCTCTTGGAGGAACCTGTCAGTCCACTGCAAAGCCAAAAAATTCACACCTTGAAAAACAGCAAGGGCCAAGCTAGCGAGGGAGGCAAAGCTCACCCCATCCCTATGAAAATGAGGGCACCAAACGCCGTCTTGCTCTCTTCTTTCTTGATGAGAGAGTGGCAGAGCCCTTCCCTCCAACAAAGCAGGTATTTCAAACAGAAAGGACACAGTCCTATCAAAGGTAGGTCAAGTCTTTGGCACAAACCACTCAACAGTGCCTTAGATCACGAGGCAGATGTAGCATACAAAATTAACCACGTTTGCTCGAAGCCTCCACTCGCAGGTGAACCAAAGGGACCCAAGCAGACGGGTAACAGAGCACAGCGAGGCAGCTAAATAGGACTTAAAAGCTTTTGAAGCTGCAAACACTAGAATGAACTGGGGCATGAAATTAATTTTAACTGTACTGAATAGGAGACAGGCCATAAAACTCCATGAAAATAAGAGACCGGTAACATTTTAGTAAGAGCAGAAATTCTCCCCGTCACTCCCCAGTCAGCTCTATTAGCATAAGTGACTCATCCCAACCGAAAAGCAAAGCAAACAAGCAGGAAGAATTAAACTAGTGTTGCAAGGCGGAGAGTATCGCTGTAGAGAAATCGAGGAATCCTGGCTTTGTGATATTCAAATGCCTTCCCACTGACACTTGCACACATTCATGGAGAAAAAAAATCCACCCTAGGAAATGTTTAAAAAAAAGAAAAACGGTATTTGTGAATAGTAGCAGCCTGGCCGTCCTCCTGTGCCCAGGTGTGAGGCTCCAAACCAGCTTCACGTGGGAGCAGTTTCTATTTAGCACAACAGAGCCAGCATGCAATGAGGTTTTTTGGACAGAATCACAACCTGGATGATTTACCAGCAACCTGCCAAAAGGCTTTTTCATCATGGCTAAATCCGCATAGGGTGAAGTTGTTCAGAAGAATCTGCATGCAATTACACCTTGGCAAGATATAACCTGGGGTGTCCTGGCAGTTGTCCTTCTGGTGCTCTAATGCATCTGGCTGATGTCTCCCAGCACCCTGAGGATTTACTCCATCTCCTACAGAAACAGCCACCTCCAGGCTACGGAGCAGAAGCTGCTCTTCCAGAGCAGAAAGGCACAAACATATTAAGAACAAGGAAAGAAGAAAAAATACCTTCAAATGCAGCCCACGGAGAAGTTGTAGGTAGGATTTGAACATCCAAGCGTGACTTGGTCAAAAGAGGGAAGTTTAATACCTTTTCCTCTTGGTCAAAAGACCCTGAATTATTTGCTTGGAAGAATCACTGAAATCTTGATTTTGTATCTGCCTCCCAAGCATCCAAATGTCCTTTAATGTGCAGCAGGGACACAAGAGATGGGAGAACAGGACACACCGACTTCTCTGCACACCCATCAACAAGTAGCAAAGTGCAGTTCAGACCCCAGGACCTCCGAGACAGGCCCATGGTCAAAAGCAGCAAACATCTGGAGCCCAGATCGCTCAAGGGCCTTTTGCTGACCTAGATCTGTGAATGCGCTCGGCTGGCATCAATAACCAGCTGAAAGCAGCTAATTGCGAGGTTTCTGGAAGGAGGAGACGGAGGCTTTTCATTAAAACGTGTGGTTTCCTTCCCATATTTTTGCAGCGTTAATCACAGTGAACATTAACCCCAAGCCTGCCTGCTCCAACCTCTCCTTGGTCTATCACCACCACCGCTACAGCCGCACGAGAGGGTTGGGATGACCCTACGGATGCCTCCAGAGGAAGGGATGGAGGGGAGCGCCTGCTCTGACGGCACGGGAAGCTGGTGCGACGGGGCTTCACGTCTCATTACCAGTTTCACTCCTGACCTGCACAGTCAGTTCCCTCTTGTTTGCGCCCATCTTTCAGGCAGCAACCAACGACAGGAAATCATTTAAATCACAGGAAAATGTGATCACAAACCCACAAATATTGGCAGAGGAATGGAGAGTGGGTGAAGTATCTGAATCTACTTTTAACTCGTTCTTTCAGGCACAAAGCTAGCCATCAGCTTGAAATTGCCACCTTCAGCGCCCGGCTTGTGATGGCCGTGGAGCCCTTGAAGTGAAGAGGGGGGTCAGGGGACCCCGAGAGACAGTCACTGCCACACGCCATCAGTGCCAGGGATGAGTCACAACCAGCAACGCCATTCTTGGGCCAGCACTTGATGCCGTACAAGGTGGTTTATCAGCCGTCAACCCCTTGAACTGACAGCAAAACAGACTTCCAAAAGCGGGGGGCTGCAAGCCCGCAGGGAGCACAGACCCTCTGCCAGGCATCATCGCCTCTCCCAAGAGTAAAATTGCCACCTACCTCATTAGTCGTGTGTTGAATCAGTGAACTGGAGGGGGTGGCCCTGGTTTTGTTTGCTTTTTTTACATCTTTGCAGCTAGAAAAGCGCACCTGAGCGGTGTGGGCTGGGGGAGGCAGCCAGCGTGGAGAGCACACGTCTGCATGCTCCATGCCCCTCAGAGCTGCCTTCGCGGGCAGCGTGTCCACCGAAGACAACGGCCAGAGGGTTGAAATGATGGGAGACCCAGGCCAAAGCACAAGTGTCAAAATCCTGGTGGATCCTTGCCCAAGACTTGTGGTGATATCTGCCAAGCTCAAACGACCAGGGGTAAATGCATCGCCAACACAAGGCACAAAGGAAATGTCTGGAAGCAAAAAGCTGTTGGGATTTCTCAGCTGCAGGAAAAGCAATTGTTTCCCACTGACTTCTCCGTCTGCTTTCGTTCCCCTCAGAAGCCTTCTCCATCCTCCCCACCCACCACCAGGAGATGATGCTCCCCTACCTCAGAGGTGCACGGCACAGCAGCACCTTGGGTTTATTCCCAGCACCCAGGCCAACAGCGAGGACCCGAACACAACCCTCGCATCTAGGATGCCAGTGCCCAGCGCCGGCAGCGAGGCTGCTTGGGGACCTGCTGAGTCCTGTGGGGACCGAAGAGCCGGGGGTGACTCTGGGGTTTGAATGTTTGACAGTGAGCGCATTGCCTGGGTGACACAGGAAGCCTTGGGTGGAGCAGGAACCGAGCGGGGCTGCGCAGCGAGCAGCGGGGTCACGTCACCAAACCCTCCTCCTCCCCGCAGCCCCTGGGGACAGACAGCACCTAAACACCGCCAGCGCCTACCATGCTCCCCTGCAGCAGAGCAGAATAGGAGAGGTACGTTAACTCTTTCCCTATAATCCCCCTGGCATCAATTAACATACCGCTGAAAAGCAAAAGATTATTAACTTTTGTTAATAGATTATTAAAGATGATTATCGCCAGCTGACCAAGCCCGTACTAAAATAGACACGCTGCAGGCAGCTCAGAGCAATCATCGGTTCATTCAAGGCAGATAAAAGTTTCAGATCCGGTTTGACTATTTAAATTTCCAACAATAATCACAATTATCGCTATTCTCATTATCTGTTATATTTCTTCTATGTTCAGGAAGTCACTGTGGTTATTAAATGAAGGTTGATGATTCAATCATGTATTGAGGTGATAAGTCAAATTAGATGATTGCTAAGTCTCAGTAAGTATCTTTGAAACAACCAGTAGTTATTAGACATTCAAGAGGTGCTTCATGAAAATCTAATTGTAATTGCAACTTTTCACTTTACCTCATCTTTGCCGCATGCAAACACGCACACACACACACGTGCTGGCAACTGATTTCGTACTTCAGTATGTGTGAAACACAGAAGAAAGCACCCAACGTGAGCGCGCTCTGGGAAAACGCCAAGAGACCAGCCAGGACACACGTCCACCCCCCGAGAAAATCAAACAGCACCTTCAGCATCTGTCTGAAGCGACGTCTCCCAACTGCTGGGCTCCTGGAGCTGCTCCTGGAGCTGGTTTGTGCTTCAGGCACCCGGAGCAGTGAAACACCAGCTCTAAAAGGATGCTCGCGATTCCTCAGCAGCTTTAATTGGAGTCTGGGAGCGAGCTAGCATCCCTCCCGCTGCAGCCTAATGCCCAACCTGACATTTAAAATAGCCTTTATTGCCACGTACTTACATTTTAATGTTTTCATGGTATTGCCTGGTGTCTGAAGGCTGGTTGTATAATGGCTGAAATAAATAAGAAAAATGAAGGCATAAATGGTACGGTCTGACATTTAGGAACTTAAACCTGTCGGAAGCCCCGCCACCTCGGTGCAGGTTCCCGACTCCCTGAGCCGTGCCAGCCCAGGCGCTCGTCCCCGCGCCCCCCAACCCTCCCGTCGCCCCCAGCCCCGCTCCCTGGCTG